CTGAGGGAGAATCCCTCATGGTGAAGGCCAGTTTGAACCTCTCCTCTCCTGGATCTGCAGAGTCAGTACATGTATGTCTCTTGCACACACTAGGTAAAATACATGAAGTACAAATGGAAGTGTATGTATGCTTAGTACAAATGCTGCCCGTGGTGGGTTGTGATAGTGACCCGCTGCCTTGGTGTATCACATATGAAGGATTGTGGGAGCTGGGACAAACTTATCTACAGCAGCACCATAATAGTGGAGCCTTGCAGGATGGTATCCCAGTTATATTGCCTTGTTCCCAGTAAAACTAACTTTTCTTGTCTGGAAATGAATGTACACTCTGCTTAGTTATCACGAGTCCAATGATCACCTGAACACAACAGCAGAGAGCAGCATACAGCATTATACATGTGTATGATGCTGACTGTATGTCTATATCTATATATCTACAATATATATATACAGTGTTAGGTTGGTGAGGAACCAGATCGCAAATTAGTACTCTGCCCTCCTCTCCACTGCCGCTGCTGCTATCCATGTTTCCTCCTCCTCCACTTTTCCCCTGCCAACCGCCACTGTTCCCCCACCTCCCACTGCCCTGGTACTGCTGCCCAGCACTGCCTCCCTGGGAAAGTTCAATAGAGAATCACATGTCAGAGTGGACACAATGTGGAAGGATATGAAGGCTTGGTTTCTTCTTCTAGTTAACCAGTGTACTACTGCTACTACACTCTTTAGTAAGAACCTGAAGTTGTGCTCCTCTCCACTGCTGCCTTGCCCCTCCACCTCTCCCTCCTCCCCTTCCTCCTCTGCCTGAACCTCCTCTGCTGTAGGCTTGTGGTGGAAAGCTGCTGCCACCACTCCCACACATCTGCCGGTCCAAACATGCTTCACACACACAGACACACAGGGTAGTACAGGCGCTTCTATTTGAACAGCTTTTGATCAGACTCTGCAGCGCAGTTGGGTAACAGAAAATCGAAGGTCAAATTTCCCGCCATAGTGCGCGCGCCTCCTCGGTTTTTGGTTGTGACGTGCGTGTCGATCGACTGGTCATGTGGCGTTGGGGAAGATACAGAGTGCTGATTTTAGCAGCTCTCTAGCTAGCAAGTGGATTACCAGTAGCCCGAGCTCCTGGGCTGCTCACGCAGGAACCGAAGAAGAGCTGCAAACCTACAGAATGGTCAGGAACTTGACTGAATAAGCAGCGAGGTAAAGCTATCCGTTCACCAGCTGAGAAAAACAAAGTGAGGTCATGTAGCTAGGTATTATGCAGTGTGCAAGAATGCACTATGAGGTGTCCGCCAACAAGCTATTCTCGGCCTCTTGAAAACTGTCTCCTCATGCAGACTCTGAGAAGACAAGCTGATGTTGACTGCTAGGGACAACACCCCACTCCTGCACAGGCCTTACCTGGCCACCAACAAGCGACCGCCGTGGTACAAGGACAAGTTCTTCTACCTCAACCTGGTCCGACGGAGCCTGGCCGAGTTCCTGGGGACAGGGCTGTTTGTGTTCACGGCCGTATCTGCACTGAGTGGAGCTGAGGATAGGGAGTCAGTTGCTATTGCTGCAGGGTTGGCCCAAGGTCTGTGCTATGGGGCTCTTGTGGCAGCTATGATGCACGTCAGGTGAGCTCCATAGTCTACTACATCCCTCTATTCAGAACACCAATGGCGGTATAACTCTCATTTCAGGGGAAGAAACTGTTCCCCCATATGAGGGGTGTAATTAGACAGTGTACTTTAGTGACACTTGGTTTCATTATTGCTAAGTGTGTGAGTGGATCACCTCTAACTAATTATGTAGTGTATGGCAATTTCACCAGCCCCTATAAACATGTATAGAGAAGTGTATTGTAGGTGCAGAGGAGTGTCTGTTGATGGAATTTGCCAACTTTGCTGTTTCTGTATGCATATGCTCCAAGAACAAACACAAACACATTATTTACTCCATTTCCCCACAGCTCACACTGAGCCTCCGTGTACTACATACACTGTACACTGTATCTCTATTAGCCTCGTCCCCAGACCTTTATAACAATGCTGGGAAGTCAATGTAATATTTCAGCGATAGTACAGTATGGACAGCACTGTCTACATAATGCAATTCAACTGACTAGGTGGGCTTTTTGCTCATCATACAGAAGGAAATGTCATGCTTGGAATTATCTGACAGTATACCTTTCTGTGGCCAGATGATAGAATCAATCAAAAGACAAACTTTCCCATAGTGACAGAAATCTACTTCCAGGCAAAAGCTGGTCGATGTAGATTAATGTGGGTTGGGGCCGTGCCCTGGTCATTTGCTGACATGCCAAACATTGTATATACGTATACTTTATCTGTCTTTGATATGGGCAGGTAATGCTGAGACTTGCAACAACGCTGGCACATAGCACGTTTGCAGTTGTGTTTAAAAACCCTATGAAGGCCAAAATGCCTGGTCCCAATGTGTCCATTATTCGGAGGTTCCACTTTAGTACATATGTCAGTAGATAAACCATTTTCTCTTCCTCACTCCCTTCCCCCTCTCCACTCCCTCCCACTCACACCCAGTGGTGGTCATTTCAACCCAGCAGTGACACTCGGGGTGTTGCTGGCCGGAGGAATCAACGTGGTCGCCAGTCTCTGCTACTTCCTGGCCCAATTAGTCGGAGGAATTGTGGGGGCCGCCTGCGTTCTGGTGAGCCTTCGCCTTCAAGTACTCACTCTTCTTTTCCAGACTCTGTAACTGTGATGTAGCCAGTTTGTAGGGGTAGCATGAAGTCTTAATACCAGTTTATGGCATAGTCCTGGATCAGTTATGCAGTCAGACAGCAATGTGGGAGTGCAGTATAGTCCTAAACATACAGTCATTCTAGCATGCTAGCATGTGGCCTAGGGTGATTATAGCCAATTACATAAGATTGTCCAAGAAACTCTGGATGATGTTGCACACTGTAAAATGTGGACTTGAAGCGTGTGTGCTGCTACCACAAGCATTACTTGTATACGTATAAGAGCTCAGCCTGTGCGTGTGTTTGAACTATGTTGGCCTTTCACCCTGCCCACCCCCAGGCCTATGATACTGGGAGCAACAGCAGTGCCCTGGAATACGGAGTCACCCGACTGAACTCCAACCTCAGTCCAATGCAGGGCATTCTGGTGGAGCTACTCCTCACCTTCCTCCTGGTGACAGTCTTTCTCCATACCACCATGGAGAAGACCGAGATGAGACCGGTGGCCCCTGTGCTGATTGGACTGGCTCTTACCGCTGCTGTCATCTCCAGGTGTGTAGTGAAAACAATTTTGGTGGTTCATGATTTGATGGGCACACTTGGAATCAGTTCACCAATTATTTAGCTGGTGTGCACATGTCTGAGAAATAAAATAGTTGCCAATATGAAAGATTTGTAGGTTATGGTACACCTGCCGATGTGTTTTGAGTCATCTGTTAACGCAAGATTTTGCGGGCAGTGTATACGATTTGCAATTCATATAAGTATGCTCTGTGAAATTCCTATTTAAAGCATTCATCACTACCTTTCACCATTAATCTATTACGGTAGATAGAGTAATTCTTCTTATCCCTTGATCCTTTCCTGTGGAAGATTGGACGTGTGTAACTTGTTAGTAGTTTGTCCCTGGGGTAAATCTGTTAATGTTAGAAAGCAACTACATCAAGCTGCTTATATATACACTTACATAATTATGTCGCTGATCCAATAATGATATTCATTGCAAACCACAACTATTTCGGTAAGTTGTTCCAACTCTATAAGTGTTGTAGTCCCCCTGGCAGGGTTGTGTTGTATGAGCCGAGAGAAGGTTAGCATCTCCCTCGATAAGGACGAGAAAAGTCTTAGGACTTTCAACCTACAACACATGGTTAAGGCAGTGCCACTTACTTTGTGGCGTCTAACCAGTTTTTTGTCCTGTAGCCACCTTGTCCAAACGAGGTATGCTTTTCAAATTGAGCAACAGCTTCCAAATTGGCCAATGGGCTAAACTTCACACTTTGTACAAATGAGCTTAACTTTGTCTAAACTAGCTACCTTGTCTAAATGAGCTAAGTTTTCCACCTCGTCTAAATGAGCTAAGCTGCAGCAGAGAGTTTGTGTGAGGTGGTTGAATGCCCCTGGTACACAGAGGGCAATTTGTAGCAAAGAGCTCTGTGTTTTGTGCCTCTCTAAGAGCTTTGAGTGTGTTTGGAGCAGCAACTCTTGTCCCCCTGTTAAAAGCTAGAGTCACTACATGTACACACTGGATGTACTGTACCATTACTTGACTTAAGACTAGAGAGTTCAATGTCCATACAAATGCACATTGGCAATGCTATTTGGTGTGTTTCATAGGCCCCTGATTGCATTCCTCCCAGCCTGGATTCGTTTAGCTAGTGCTGGTAATGGTTAGTGACAATGCTGGGGTGGTTGACCCCTTGACAGGGTTAGAGCTGTAAGGAAGGCTAATGCTTGGCAGCAGAGGTCTGAGTTAGTTTTCCTCATATGGCAGCACATTGATTGATCAACAGTCCGGGACTATGGCTATACGTGTACAGTGGGTCACAGGGCGTTTTGTTTTCTTCTGTGTTTTGCGGAATTATATAACAGGGCGTGATGACGCTCCGTGAACAAAGGATACCCTCTCTACACTATGCAGTAGGTGTATTGTACATACATTCCTGCATAAAGGACACATTTTGTGATCCCAGCATGTCCTTTTTTCAGTGATTCCACTCAAAACTCCTTCCCTCTTGAGCATGTGCTACTCTACACAACCACCACAATCACGTCCTCCTGTTCAGTAATATATACCTATTAACTATCCACAACCTCTGTTCACATTAGAAGCATATCAGTCCACATTAGTCACGTACGTAATGCAACATGAGGGTTGGTACGGGGCATTGGCTGGTGATTGGTGTTGATAAACCTCAATGAATGGTGCACCCGTCTCTCTCCCTGCCCCACCCCAGTCACTCCCTCACCGGAGGCTCGCTCAACCCGGCTCGGAGCCTCGGGCCTGCCACCGTGGCCTCCCGGGACCACCACAACCCATGGAGACACCACTACGTGTACTGGGTGGGTCCGTTGATAGGAGGGTTCTTGTCGGGGGCCTTCTATCGTCTCATCCTCTCCTCACACCCTCTCATACCCATTACTGAGCCAGAGACTGTTCGCACTACTGGTTAGCATGTCACCACACACACACACTCACACAAATTCGTGACCATAACCCACAAATTTTTTCTCCCTCCAGGACACACACATTTTTCACCCATAGACTGATTTTTGTACAGACACACAAATTTTGATCAAAAATTTTTTCTCCCTCGACAAACATTTTTCACCCATACACACAAATTTGTGCCCATGAACCACAAATTTTCTCACTCGGGAGGACACACTCATTTCTCACCAACAGACTGATTCTTGTAACGCACGCACACACAAATGCAATTTTAATTCAGTCACACGGAGTTCTATCATTTGTGTACCTGGCCAAAACCCACTGCCGTGTATGACAACGGGTGCCCACCAGAATGCACATCTAACTGTAATCCGACCATCTTTGTTCGCAACGCATTCCCCATCTCATCATTAACAGCCCGCATTTGGTCCACTATTTACACTGTCTTTACCTTGTCGTATCTGATGTCATAATAATATTATGTGTGCCTACGCAACACAAACATACACACGTGTTGGCATAAACATAAACTCAGTCGGTGTGTTATAGATATCTATGTATATATGATATACCTGTAGAAAGCTCGGAGCTTTAAAAATATATAAAACGGTATATAGGAGTAGGGCTGTCTTAGTTCCACCATGAGACCAGCTCTGTTTGCATCATGCTTTGGGTTGTGACGCACTCTGTGTGACCGTTGTAGAGCCGGCCCTCGTTAAAAACAAAGTCCAGGGGGTGAGAGTGAGGTCCTCGTTTCGACATGTCCAGCATGTTTCGTCGGAACTCAAGTATCTCCCCCGGCGGCTTCATTACGGGGCCGTCCCTGCAATAAATGTGGCAGACGACCAAGTCCGGTGCCTCCTGCAGGAGCATTGCTACAGAGCCCCGGGTGACCGATCGCACAGCGAGGTAGATACGTGTCAGCGGAGCCCGTACTAGGGCCTGGGTCAGTGCGTCTGTGATGTTGACTCGAGGACAGCAAAGGGAGAGGTTTTGAATGGCACTGTCTTTCACATCCAGTGGAAGACCGAAACAAAACTCCATGCTAACGCTCAAGTTCCGCAAGTATTTGCAGTTGCGGACGGCAGTCTCGAGCAGAATGTTGCACACTGTGGGGGAGACCCCTCTAATATGGAGGGTGCTGAGGGACTCCATGTGTCTCACCAGCCTCACTAGGTGCCCGTCCATGTTCCGGCAGTGTGGACACACTATTGACTTGCACTGTGTGAGACCGGTCTGGATTTCAAGAGTCTGAATGTGTGCCATCGTCTTGAGAGATTCCTCGATCTCGTTTTCATCGCTCACAGAGTACTGTTCCCCGGTGAACTCGTCTGCTTCCTGAGAGGCTTGTAGGAGGCAGGGGTCGATGGCTAGGTGCCTGAGCCCGACCATTTGAGAGAGACACAGCCACATTTCGCTCGTTCTCTCCACGTAATTACAGGGAATGTTCTGGAGATTGAGAGCTCTGAGTCGCGGGCAGTTTGACGCGAGGGTAGCCAGCCCAGAGAGGGGGTTGAGGCACTTCTTGCAGCCAGAGAGGTTCAGCTGTGTCAGATTCTTGCAGAGGAGGGCGAGCATCTCGAGAGAGACAGAGTCCAGAACTGTGGCCTCTGTGAGGCTGAGGCAGGTGAGGTGGGCTGTTGCTGACTTGAAAATCACAAATTTCGTCTCGGTCTCTGAGAGAACAAACTCTGGACTGGAGATGAATCGACCGGATAAGAATCGTTCGTTGTCGTCGTCTTTGTCCGATTCTCTGGTGCTGAGGCTGATCATCCCGTGCAAGCTGCTCGCTGGGTCGCTGCCCATCTCTGGGTGTGTGTACGAGAGAGCCGTGGAGAGGGAGAGGGGGAGAGCCGTCGAGGTTCAGCTCTAACAGGGGAACGTTGCTCAAGCCCAGTCGAGACCTCTGCCAGGTGACGCGAAACTGACAGGCGTCTTCGCAGGGAGGAAAATTCTCCATGCACTCTTTCCAGAGGTCCTGCAGGGAGCTGTAGCGAGACTGCATGCTCTCTGCTGGCTGGGCCGCCTTGGTTTGCATGGTCGTCACGCACACGTCGAGGGGGCGGTATTTCTGGCAGGCCCACTGTCTCAAGAGAAACTCGATGAAGTTTTCGTCCCACTGGGTGAGGAGGGTGAGGCTGGAGAGGTGCTCCACGGCCCCGAGGAAGTCTGCCACTCCAAGGCCCTGCACATTACGTGCGTGCAGTGGCCAAGGCCGCAAGCGGTGTTGACTGGCTGAAATTCGAGGCGCTCGAGACACGGCAGCGCTCGTACGATGCTGGCCATGTTGGTAACGTAGCAAGCCGACTGGCCTAGTCGGAGGCTCTTGAGGTTCGTGCAGGTGCACAGGTCCTTTGCGAGCCCCACGAGGTTGAACGTGCCGTCGATGCTCATCTCCTCCACGGCCGAACCGCGTCCGTCGCCTAGCATCCCACCCAGCCTGGCGTAATCAGAGCGCTCGAACCCGTCCATGGACAAGGTTCTCCAGAGCTGCGGGCTGTCCAGCGCCCGTCGGAGACTCCGGCACACTCTCCGCAGTCGGTGCCGCTGCCGCACGGGCAGGTACCCGCACACCCGGACGAGTAACTCGGGAGGCAGCGCGTCCACAAAGTTCTCCGCCCCATCTCTGCCCAATGTCGGCAGAGCACCCTCAGGCGCTGCTAGCAGGTCGCTCGCCATCTGCCAACAGCGGAGCAAACCCCGTCCCGGTGCCTCGTCCGATCACCCAGCACAAAACAACCTCCGAAAATGGTAAACACAAACTCATTTGGACTCGATCAGCCCCACCCCACACACCCTGGCCGGCCACCCCAAGCCACCACCGTGTAGCGCACGCCGCCAACTTTCAGCGGCTTCAGTAATGAAAAATAATTATGATTGGTGAGTGCTACAAATTTGTATACATACGTAACCCTAGCCTAGACCGACGTCCAGTGACATCATCACAATAAATCCAAAGACTGCAGCTACTGACGAGAGTTTCCCATTCCCGCTGTGTGTTTGCATGCGTGCGTGAGTGCGTGTGTGTGGTGTGATAGGATAAAGTACTGCATCGTAACCCAGGCCGGCCCAAACAAAGGAGTATGTAATATATAACAGCTAATCAGTTCAGGACGTGTCACAAATCAAAATCAAAATGTACCATTGTTCTGGGCTCCTCCCATTGCACATGCCCATAATGTTACTTGACAGAGGACAATATTTTAATTTGCACAGAGCCTGATTACGCTACTTGTGTAATTAAATTACAGGGTTCCCAATATATACCCACTTTCTACCTACGCAAAAGTTCGATGAAGGCAAAGAAGGAGTGTGAAAGAAATATTAACAGGGATAGAGAGAAAAGGACATTTTGAGCTGACCACTGGTTTGCCTCAGGGACCAAGTCGTCCAGTACCACGTAGACCATGGCACCGGCTGCAAATGACAGCGCATACGGCAAAAGTGGCTCTGCAACCTGTAAATACACACACACATACAGCCCTCTGGTAAGGTGCAGTATTAGAATGAATTTGGCAAAAGAATTCCACAGAGAGCGTGCGAGACCGTTAATTAAACTGCTTCAGATGATGTCAATGCACGCACACGGCAAGATTGTCGTCGGATACAGAAAATTGTGTGCAGCTCAGACACGACCTACTAGGTAAGCTAACCTCACAACTATAGGTTACATGTACACATAGTAAGGAAGGTGCTGTAGATTAATGTCTTCTCGACAGTATCATCGCTAGCATTGGCACACTGTATTACATACATAATGGAGAGCTAAAATTGGACTCACCACAACAGCTATTGTGCCAAAAAGACCGGCCAACGGTTCCACCATGCCACTCAGCTGGCCATACCTACAGCACCAATCGCACACACACACACACACACAGTATACGTATGCTTATAGACAGGCATGCAGTGGATTAATGCTCGGAACATTAAACTTGGGCATGTCTGCTGTGGGAAAACGGATAAGGTGGGAACCGAATACACTTGGACTGGACTGGTAGAAGGTGCGTCCCATTAAAGTAAACTGTGTCCCACCGGAAAGTACATTCAGTATGTCCACATTGGAAAGTTGACATAGTAAATTGTGTTCGCAGTGTAAATTTGTGTTTATTTGGAAACATGGTGCCCACGGAAATTTACGTACATGGTGCACATGGATTAGTACCAGTGGACACATTCTGTGGGCACCTTGCCTGCAGCAAACGCACACCTATTGTCTGTGATCAGTCCCGTGGCAATTTTCACGTATACACAATGCCTCGACAATGACGTGGAAAAGTACCGATCGACATATACACACGTAGTAGCTAGAGAGAGACAAAGACCAGAGCTACGTACTTAGCTAGTGAATAAGTATGAGAACTGTGCACCAGCTAGAGGAAAATGTTCTGTACAGCGTATGTCGCATTATAAAAAGCACGTGTCAATGCAAAGGAACGACCACTAGGTATATATATACAGGTTCACTCTGCTGTGTATAGTTTCATAATACTTCACCATAAGCTCTTCCAAACTCCCATGCCAGCTGCTCTCAGTGGCAGACTGACTGCCAGGCCTTCTGGGAAGTTCTGGATCCCTATACCTATAGCCAAGTTCCTGATATTGTGTACGTGTGTGTGAGGAGAGAGGGGGTAAGGGAAGGAGAGAGAGAGGGAGTGAGAGAGGAGAGGCAGGTAAGAAGCAGCTCTGTTTGTGTAAACCCTTAAAGGCTTTTGTAGAAAAAACCACAACCGTAGTAGGTGTAGAAAGTAACATGACGGCTCAATACAGCAATTATATCCTCCTCACTAGAAGGTTGTGCAAATACAGCGTCTGTTAACACACAACACCCGCTGGGAGACTGGCCTCGTTTTTGAAACAAGTCATCCCAGGTGGGATTGTATAATTATAGCCCATAATATATAGCAAACTGCAAAACTGTTTGAAGGCTCTCCTATCACATTGTTTTCCACATTTGCCTGTGGACACGGCCTTCTATTTGAACTGCTTCATCCCCCCTCTCTCTCTCTCCTCTCTCCCCCATTGCAAATGCCAGCTACTGTAGGGTTCCCATATTGACTGACCTTGCAGACTCGAGGGTGGCTGACGGTGTTTTCCCAATGGCTCCAAACCCCACTCCAACCGCCAGCCCCTCTGCAGTATATAGAGGTGAACCTTTATAACACCGGCCTATAACTACTACCCTTCTACGGAGGGCCAAACAAACATGATGAGACTCTGCATCATAGTATCTTCACGAAATTGCTGCGCCTTGCACATCGCGTCAACGTCGCGCTGTGAACCGGGCCTCACCGGGGATATTGTGGACGGTGATGGCTATACAGAGCAGGAGTATCCTCCTCCAGCTCATCATCTCTGACGACTTCCTGGTGGGGTGTCCCTCCAATTCACCAGTGGGACGAGGTGAGGGAGAGTCTATTGCTCTGTGTCTCAAGGAACCCGTGCTGGACTTATACCGGTAATCCTACAAACCAGTATAATATACAGTGAAACCACTGAGACACTGAACGCGTCTTTTTTTAGAGGCCTCCCTCATTTGGAGGTAAGTATGGGGCAAAACCTTTTTTGTACAGTGCGTCCAGCAAGCCTTTTTGTAGAGGTGCTTATTTGGAAGGTCTTTTTTCAGAAGTTTCACTGTACTGTGGATGCATATCAAGGATAAAATGCTCATTGAGTACTTTTATATATAGTTCACAGATAAACTATATACATAACCCTCAAAATATACACGAGTTTTATCCTTTGCATGGCACAATGTAGCCGGCTAACTCAACGGCATCTTGTCTGCAGTTGCGCATGCTCACACCATCACCCCTCCCACTCTCCCTCCCCCACACCCACTCACAGCCTCAGTCTCTCCCTCCTCCACACTACTGGCCGAGTCAGCTCTTCTCCTGGCCCAGCCACCTCTGTTCTCCTCCTCCTCCTCCCTCTTCTCCAACACGACCACACCAAAATCCCCCTGTTATAAAGGATATTTTCTATTACGTGCAAAAACAATGCCGTAATTATAGCTAGCCACTACAATAATTACTTTACGCATGCACAGAAATTTTAATATTAACCACAAACGATGGCTCTATACATAACTAGATGGCAGGGTGGGAGTTGTAGTTGCTTGAAAAAACAGAGGGGAGGCAAGACCATCAAAGTCGACTTTTTGATTTTGTTGATTCAAGTCAACAAATTTTTACAGGTTTTCAGTATTGACTGTTGAGAATTTGGGGCTATGGGATTGTCCATACCCATACTCAGTATACCAAGAGTGGTAGTAGGAGATCTGTGGCATATATAAAGGCAGCCCCTGCAGCAAAGCCCAGAGAGATGGGGAGGAAGGTGCAGCGGCCGTAAATCCCAGACCTGTTAGCCAGCTCTATTGCTGGAGCCAGCAGAGACCAATATGACGCAGCCAGCATCACCTATAGTGGATGGATAAGTGCGCATGCGCACGACAGGTTTTATGTGTTCTACTACACAGTAAGAAACGTACACCGGCTGCGAATCCCAGGCTGCCATCCAGTATCTTTCGCTGCAGTGAGGACGTATACACACAAACTACATACGGCCATGGCCATTAGCTAGCTAGCTATAGACACCACACTATTGTATTCTTGCACCTGGCCTCCGTGAAACACGAGCACCAGCGCAGCTCCGAGTGCAGTCAGCCCCCATGTCAGAGTAGTTCCCATGAGGGACTGCACTACAGGGTGGTATCCACTCAGCATAACTGAACTTGAGCTAGCTGAAGCCACACCCGCGCCGTCGGATTTCTGCGCATGCGTAAGTAGATTGTTGCGCTAGCTGGCGTTGCACAGACTGACACATCATGAAAAGCCACTAAGCCGGTCTTTACCGCGTTCCCAAAGTGCCTAGCCCGTGGGCTTGCGAGGCGGTGGTGTTTTCAAAAATTTCCGAGACTATATATAGCAGGTGGTACAGATGCCACCTGATAGTCCTAATCCAGCTTCGCCGCACCGAATCAGACGGAACGGAGACGGCGAGAGACAGTGGAGCGTTGTACTGAGCTGCAGCGTGGTGACACTGCTTTGTCTTACATCGGGGGTGACTATCGCAATCCCGTCGAACGTATTCCTCGACTTGGCACAAAAGGATTCTCCTCATCGGCTCACTATATTCCAGCAATCAGTCTTCGCTGTAAGCCATTCATTTCCCTGTTTTGTATGCGAAAACCCCACATCGGAGACAGTAGCTAAGTTCATTCGACGGGACCGTCCTTCCATCTTTACCAGAAGCTTCCCCAAAGGGTGTTGAGCACAGTCTTGGTATTAGAGTATATACTGTGCGAAGGACTTGTGATTGAGATCTGGTTGCTGTGTTTGAGATATCATCATCATGCAGCCATGTAACTACAGAGTACAGTTTGGCCCTATGACAAGTTTCTCACTCTCAGCCTTGGCATGCATGACCCTCGGCGCACGATAAAGGTCGAAAAATATGTGCGGTTTCACTGAAACTGCTGCGTTCGGGAGTTACGGCAAGTGAACAAGCCAATCTGCAAATTAGCACAGGCTTACCTCGAGATTCGCTGCCCCATAGTGCGCGTTTCGTGCCCGGCACAATCTGCGCGAGGTATATACAGTGGGTCCCACTTAATATCATACCAATATCCCGTTTATTATCATCAGATAATGTCATATCCCGCCTATTACCATAGAAAGATTGAGCATATTTTGGTTTTTGCCCGCGTATTGTCATTATTGCGCATGCGTAATTAGGCACTACAACCTTGGGTTGGAGTTTTGTAACTCTACCTGGCTGCCAATTAGCTTATGTAAACAGCTAGGCTAACCTAGCTTGATTAGCTTAGCTGTATTGTGGCTATAATCATGTGGGTCACAGTATACACACCCGCAGTGTATATACAAGTTTTTGGATGCACCGTGGGTATGATATTAACCGGGACCCACTGTATTCCGTAAAATCTCCGCAACATAATCCCGTTCTCACATAGGCTCGAATTCTGCAGAGAACGTTTACCAAGCCTATTGTTGAGCTAAAACATGGCAGATGCACAGCGAAAGATGTGCCTCACTTGGTAGCATGCTTACCTCGTCTGCAGCCTTTCACAGAAGACTGTGTATGTAGGCAGTCTTCCTCAACTTTGCTATGACATGGAACCCTTCTCTAGCGAGAATGCACGTCTCCACCGAGGGTTTTCACTTTAGTGCTTTTTATTTGTCTTCTTTACTTGATGGAATGTGGGGTATCACTAAGTACGGTACTACTCAATAGGCATGACACAATAGCAAGAATGTTCTTTGCATCAAAAAATGATTGACTGCCTTATAATATGTCTCCTTAATTTTGAGTGTGAGCAGTAGACAGTACGACTTGTTTGTTGTTTATGTTTATCTTCACAGGCGCTAGCCTCAGCGGGGGCAGTAGTAGGTGGACTGGCTGGCGGCTGGGTTGCAGACCGATGGGGCAGAAAATGTTCTCTGATGTTTACTGGCGTCCCCGTACTAGTCGGCTATCTATTCATTAGCTATGCTCATTTCTCACCCGTCACAGAGACGTTTGTCATCTTACTCTATGTGGGACGGCTATTGACTGGAATTGCCATGGGCTCTTCTTCAGCAGTAGTTGGGGTATGTATGAAAAAATGTGGAGAACCAGAAATCTTGGTTTCCCACACTAGCAAAGCTGGTGCTGATGCTTGTCTTTGTCAAAATGTTTATGCTCACTGGTTGTTTATTGTCGCACTGTACAAACAGCTAGGGAACAACTTAACCACTACACCTAATTGTACTGCTGTATATACAAGGGCTACATCCAGAGTTTGTATAATATTATACAGCAGGTATATACAGCAGTTATTCTTAGGACTAAGTTTTGAGTCACGAAATCTGCTTGTCAGAATTTCCCCATTGTTCTTAGCTCGTAACCCATGTTCGTAACCCGTATAAGGCCACTCCAAGTTGCATTCCGGTTTCTGGTCAGGGCCTTTTCAAGTCAAGATGCAGGCGGCTGGGTTTTACTGTTATGTCATTAGTCCCGTTTCCAGTTAGTATAATGACCACAAAAATTCATAATGGGAAGACGACAAAACGAGACAATGGCAAAGCTATTAGCTAGTACACACAGCGCAGCATGCGCAGCCTAATAATGGCGGGCGGCGGACGAAACCGGGTATATATTAGCTTGGAGTGGTGACTAACCATCGGCGCGCATGCTCAGCGAGGGCCGGGTATATAATATACTTGGTTTGTGTTCGTTTGTCGGTTACCACGTTTTCTGCGACTACTCGCAACATGACATAAAAATAGCGATACCCACGGGTTTATCGCTACACTGGCTTCATTTAGTATAACTATGCGTTCAAAGTTATGGCGTGAAAAGCAAGTGAACAAGGCAAATTAGCACAGGCTTACCTCGACCGGGTCCGCTTGCTCTGTGTATCTCGAAGGCACATGAGGTCACAACGAAGGGCGTGTATCGACTCTCGCATGCTATAGCTACTCCGTGTCAGACTCTCCGCGGGGTATTATATCGAGCGCGCGGGTGTTGGCGGTACCGCGCATGCGCAGTTCGCCGAGGATTTGCACTTTTGGTATATAACAAGGAATGAGTCACTTTTTAGTTGTGAAACAATAATTTGCCACTGTATTTCACAGCTATAGGAGTGTCTTCTATTGTAGAATGACCTAGTAGTACTAGTGCTTCTACTCTTTCAGCCCTAACTCCATAGTATAAACTTATAATAGCTCTATATAATAGACAAGTGACCAATGTGGCTGTGTTTCTTGACCAGACTAACCACAATAGCCTCAGCTTTTCACATAAATGGAGTACTCTCACATTGGGATAAGAATCCCAATGTCTTATCCCAATGTCAAGTCTAGTATTTCCGGATGAGCAAATGAAGCAAATTTCATCTTTGAGTCTTTAGGTGTGCTTGTTTTTGTGGTTGCAGGTCTATATAACCGAGGTTTCGTCTCCTAAACTAAGAGGACTGTTTGGTACAGCTCAAGAGTGCCTTGTAGTGGCTGGCATAACCCTAAACTATGCTCTGGGCTCCATCAACGGATTTCTCTACCACCAGACTTCCCTGGTGGTGGCTGGAATAGTGACGTTGTTTGAGGTGCTCATGGTATGGATGCCCGAGACCCCTAGGTCCCTACTGTCTAGAGGGTACGCGACGGAGGCAGAGAAAGCTCTCCAGTGGCTGAGAGGTCCAAATTCTCCCACCGCAGCCAAGGAACTGATAAAGAGATCAAACAAAACATCGTAGCCACTAGACGGTCTTCTTCTAAAGGACAAGTCTGGAAGGTGGCTTTCAGGAAAAGCTTGCTTGTCCCGTTGTTTTACGTCATAGTAGTGCTCTTGGTTAAGCAATTTTGTGGAATCAATGCAATTCACACGTATGTGGGTGAAATATTTGTCAATGCTGGTGTATCAAACCCCAGAACAACTGCCATATATACTGCTGGAGTGTCCAGTATGGTTGGAATACTAGTAGCCTTTCTAATGGTGGACATAGTCGGACGAAAAGCTCTGCTTGTAACAAGTGGGCTGATGATGATGGCTGGCTCGACTCTGCTGGGAATACACTTCTACATCACAAGACCGTCTCTTTGCAGCCTTTCAGAGTCTGGTGGACACATTTGCAATGCCCACTTTGCCCCTATCTCTATCGTGAGCGTCACTGTCTACACCTTTGGTTTCTCTGTGGGATTTGGTCCCCTGTCGTGGGTGCTGGTGTCTGAACTATTGCCTCTCAGTGTACGCGGCAAGGCGACCGGACTATGTATGGTCGTGACGTTTGTCTCTTCCACGGTTGTGGTGGGAACTTACCTGGAGCTGGCTCATGAGCTGGTGAATCCGTGGTTAGTGTTGTGGACCTACGCACTGGTGTCCCTGGCTGGTTCAGTATTTGTGCAGGTCTTTATTCCTGAGACAAAGGGAAAGAGTCTAGAAGTCGTGGAAAGAAAGTTTAGTAAAGACAGTTCTGTAGCTGTAATCTCGGCATAGCCTTGAGTGAACCCAAAACCACTATACAGGTCTGTGTGCACGGTGTATTTATTAATTAACTGCACATCAATGAAGTTAAAAGAGCAGCTTCATGAAGTGGACAAAAATGGCGACGTAGCTCACAGAGTGTGTTTCAAACTCTGTCTACGGGTCTTATAGTTCCAGTCCCTCTGGATCTGATGAAAAACTCTCGATCTGATTTCTTGTTGACTCGATCGACTGCATCTGTCACTCTAGACAAACTCTGAATGATTACACAATGGAGGGTGGGAAAATAAAGTTGTGAGAGACAGCAGAGCACGTGATAAAGTTACATTTCATCATGTAAATTAATATACACACAGACTCCTAAGGGTTTCGCTTAGTAAACTTGCAGGGAAAAAGCCGAGGCATCTGATATTTAGGAAACTGAGTAAAGAGCATTTTTCCCTCAATTTTTTTAGTTGAAGGGGCACGAGTTAGTCATTAGCAAGAGCTCTAAATGTGACAGTACATAATGCCTAAATTTAGAAAAAAGCCCAGTGAAATATAAAGTACAAACCCTCGGCGCACTACGCATGCGCGGTATCGCTAATCGATGGGA